GGCCCGGCGCGAGTCCCCCTAGCAACGCGGCCTAGAAAAGCGGGGCCGCCAGGCCTCAGCTCCGCCCCGCGGGGCGGGCAGGGGAAGCGGCTCCCCTCGTACTAACTCCTTCGTGGGGGACGGTGGCTGCCGGCGGGTGGGGCAGGGACCTGGCGGGCGTCCCCCGGGCCGGGCAGGGGAGGAGGGGCTGCCCCCCCCGGGCCCCTCGTCCTGCCCCCGGCCGTGCCAGAGGGGCCCTAAGTGCAGGGACCGGCCGCCGGCGGCCCCGCTGTTCCCTCACGTGCAGGATCCCCGGCCTAGCCAGGAGCCTGGCCAGCCTGGGGGAGGTGTGAAGCCGGCGGTGGGGCCCTGGCAGAGGAGAAACCCAGGGCTGGTGTCTAGCCTCCGGCCAAGGGCTCAGCACCCAGAAGGCAAATCCAGAACCCAACATGGCGCTTTTAAAAAATTAACCTCCTCATCCTTTCCCAGCTGGTCGGGCGCTGCCTCCCGGGCTCCCCTCATGGCTTCTGAGTGCTCGGGGCTGGCGCGTGGCTGCCGGGGCGATGCCAAAGGCTCCGAGCAACGCGCCTCCAGGGCAACTGCACTGACGGCTTCGTGTGGAAATGGGGGCCCACGAGTGAGGACGGGCACAGCCTGTGCTGAGCAGCGGGTTGGACTCGACCAGTAGCTCTCAAACTTCTGTACTGGTGACCCCTTTCGCAGAGCAAGGCTCTGAGTGCGACCCCCCCTTATAAATTAAAAACACCTTTTAATATATTTAACACCATTATCAATGCTGGAGGGAAAGCAGGATTTGAGGTGGAGGCTGACAGCTTGCGACCTCCCCCCTCCCCATGTAATAACCTTGTGACCCCCTGAGGGGTCCTGACCCCCAGTTTGAGAACCCCTGCACTAGATGACCTCCTGAGGTCTCTTCCAACCCCAATCTTCTATGAAGCTGTCCAGGGCCCTGTTTACAGAGAAATGCAGCCACATTACTGCCATGCTCAGACAGCTCAACTGGCTCCCACATTCATTTGAAGATTAGTAAGTAATTGCCGTTTCCTAAAAACTCCTCCATGGATTTGCTCAGCCCTTCTCATCTACTCCTCCACACTTCAGCTCCTCTAGCCCTGGTAATCTCGGTCCCACCTCACTAGGTTCTGTTGGAACTGGAGAGGCCTCCTCTTTTGCAGCTTTGGCTATCTAGAACAGCCTTCTTGTCTCTTGGCCTCAGTGATTCTCCATCTTATTTCCAAGAACCTGTTTTTTTGCTGTCATTTCTAGTTTCTCTTTCACTCTGCTTATTTAGCTCTGCAAGCAGTTTTTTGAAACATACCGTACAAGACAGTGTATTACAATATCCAGATTGAATATTCAGCTGTGTTTACACGAGATTTCAGCCATCAGTGGCCATCCACTGAGGTAGCTGCCCCAGTGCAAGCAGAGAAAACTGCTATAAATTATGATTTGCACCAGTGCATTTTAGCCCAGTTTCAAACAGAAATAAACAGCATTGATGCAAATTGCTTCTAGCAGTTTATATTGCTTACACGAGGGGTGCAACTATACTGGTGGCTGGGCACTGATGGCTATAACAGGGACAAACTCCCAGTAGAGTTCTTGTACCATCATGGTGCCCTATCCACACATCTCCGTATGGAACGTCTCACTTTCTTCTATATTTTCTACAATCCATTTAATGTAAACAACTTTGTGAAATCAGAAAACGTCACTATCTTGCTGTTCACATTCTCTTCCAAATATATTTAAACAGCACGAGCCCCAATACCAACCTCTGGAGGCAAAGCTATTCATCTCCATTGTGAGGAGCAGCCATTCTGTATGACTGTTTCCTATCACTAACCAGCTTTTTGATCCATGGCAATACTTTGCCCATTACTTTGTTGTCAGTTTATCTTCTCTAAATCTTTTATGAGCGCCCTTAGTAAAAGCTTTTTGAAAATCCAAGTATATTTTATCCCCTAGGTCTCCAGTACTTACTATTTTATTAACTTGAATCAAGTCAGGGAGGCATAATTTTGCCTTTGAAAATCAGTATTAGTGTGATCTTATCAAGTAAGGCTTATCCAAGTATTGGACTATTTTATCCTTAGATTCCAAGTACCAAGGTAAGGCTCACCAGTGTATAATACCAAGAATTGCCCCTGGCTTCTCTTTTTTTGAGAGAATAAGTACCCTGTTTATAATTTTGCAGCCTTCTGGAACAACTGTGGGATTTTAAAGATTTATTACATGCTTTAGCTGTGTACCAACTATGGCTGTAGCTGCTTGCACTGGTTGTCTTGGAGTTGACTCAAGGTGAGCAATGGACTACCAATCAAGTATCATTATAATGATACACATAAATGAGTAGAGGTCAACAATATGTAGCAAATCTGATCTACAACATATAAGCCCTCTGAAGAAAACATTAACGGCTTCAACTGGCCCATTCAGGACCCTTTCTTGCCTTATTAAGGACAAATGAATCATAAAAATGTAGTCTGGAAGGGACCTTGATAAGTCATCAAGTCCAGCCCCCTGTGGTGTGGCAGGACCGAGTAAACCTAGACCATTGTTGACAGGTGTTTGTCCAGCCAGTTTTTCAAAATCTTCAATGACAGGATTCCACAACCCCCTTTGGATGCCTATTCCAGAGCTTAATTACCCTTGTAGTTAGAAAGTTTTTCCTAATATCTAATTTAAATCTCCCTTGCTTCAGATTAAGCCCATTATTTCTTGTCCTACCTTCAGTGGACATAGAGAACAATTGAGCACTGTCCTTTTTATAGCTCTTAACGTATCTGAAGAGTGTTATTAGGTGCCTCCTCAGTCTTCTTTTCTCAAGACTAAACATTCCCATTTTTTTTAACCTTTCTTCATAGTTCAGGTTTTCTAAACCTTTTACCATTTTTGTTGCTTGCCTCTGGACTCTTTCCAATTTGTCCACATCTTTCCTAAAGTGTGGTCCCCAGAGTTGGACACAGTATTACAGCTGGGGCCTCACCAGTGTTGAATAGAGTGGAACAGTTACCTCCCCTGTCTTACATATAACCCTCCTGTTAATACACCCCAGAATGATATTAGCCTTTTTTGCAGCTGCATCATATTGTTGACTCATATTCAGTTCGTGGTCCACTTATAACTCCCAGATCATTGTCAGCAGTACTAGTGCCTAGGCTCAGTGAAACCAGACTTGCTGATGAGTCCCACCTTGAGGAGGTGGAAGTAGATTACACCTACTACTGGATTGGCAAGGCCAAGGATGAGCCAAGACAGTTGGGGGTAGGGTTCAGCATATGGTCTGACATTGCCCGCAAGTTTGACTCGCTACCCAAGGGAGATGACTGACTTATGGTACTCTGCATCAACTTACCCAGAGACCAGTATGCCACCATTCATCAGCGCCTACCCACCGACAATGATTCATACAGACAAAATCAAGGAGGCATTTTATGAAGATCTCAGGAGGGTCATCAGAGAGGTGCTACACCAGGACAAACTTATTGTGCTTGGAGACTTTACTGCTTGTGTTGGAGTTGACTCTGATACATGGAACAGGGCACAGGACCATCATGGCATTGGAAGGTCAAATTCCAGTGGCCAACTTCTTCTTCCAAGAGTGCCAAGTTCAATCTCACTGTTACCAACCCAGTCTTCCAACAGGCAAACAAATATAAGACAAGATGGATGCATCTGAGGTCAAAACAGTGGCACATGTTGGACTATGTAATTGTATGGTCTAAAGATATTAAAGATGTGTACATCAGTCACTCATTGAGAAATGCTGAATGCTGGTCAGACCATTGGCTTGTGTGAGAAGCATCATGTCGCTACATTTCTCACCAAAGCATTCCAAAGATTCCTCAAACCATCCAAGAAGATCAATGTGGCTGCCATGAAAGACCCCAGCAAACAAATGAAGTTGAAACAGAGTTGGAGATTATGTTAGCTGATGACCCAGAGAACTCCACAGATTTTGAGGCAACCTGGCAGAAGCTCAGAGATATAATGCGGCATACAAGGTTCTTGGCTTTGTAAGGCAGAAACACCAGGACTACATCTTGGACAAGAAATCAGTAATGAAGAAGGCCAGATATATCAGGGCAAACGTATACTACAAACCCAATTAAGACTAATGAAGAGTCACAGGTAGGAGCAGAAGGCTGCAGAAAGTGGTTGACATGGTGGGAGTGATCTGTCGTTTTGTTGGTCAGACAGCCCTCCTCCCCCTTACCCCCCCCCCCCAAAAAAAAAAAGATTTTTGCAAAAAAAAACCTGTGGCTAAATGTTAGAAAAGGTAAGCTGGGTTGCAACATCTGCTCAAAAGTACCGACATACTCCAAGGAGAATGTGAAGTCCAGGCTCTCTGCTGTAGGTAGAAATTGGCTGAGAGAGGGGTAGTATGTGGGTTCAGGGAGTACAAGGACAATCACCAGAAGGCAATGCCAGCTCCCGTAAAATCTCTTGTAAAGTGCGTCAGTATCATACTGATAACATCAAGCTAATGTGAACAGGGTTTCTCGCACATGAACATAATCATGACCCCTTTGCGATCATCTCTGAAACTGCAGACCATATC